AGACGGTCTCCAGCAGAGAAAGCCCCGTTCGTAAGTGCGGATCCGACATAAGTTGGATCCGCGTAAGTCGGGGACTGCCTGTAAATGAATTAGCCATAAAAAAACAGGCATTTGCACTTTTAAATTGAGTATTTGTGCACATTCCTAGCTTCTTACAAGCACAGACATGGAGCTTGCACACATAATGGGTGTGCAAATATTGTATTTTTCAGCTGCAAATTTGATTTGTGTCAATTTTTTTTATTCTTTTATGAAAAATGTACAATGATAAATTGAGTCCTAGGATAAATGAAACCCCTGGGATCTTTTTTTCCCTCTTACGTGATATTAATACTGATGTGCAAAAAATATTCAAATATTTAAAAATGATTTCACTTTGAAATAATGAAAAATGATGGAGGAATTTACTAAACTTCTCAGTAATATTTTCTGTTTTAAATGGTGCAAAAGGGATTAAGAACATCTTTGGATCAAATTGAGCATTTGGAGCAAAGCTGTATGAACCTTCTGAGCTAAGCCTGATCCAGCAGCACAATTAAATGTGCTTAATTTTATGTATGTGAGTAAACCCATTGAAGTCCCCAAGGATGAAATGTGTGTAATTACTTTCCTGAAGAGAGGCGTATGTTGTTTATGAGTTGGACTCCATGATTTCATTTGTGAGATGCTGGCCATCATCTAGTGCCTCAAAATTCTCTTATGTGTTAAATTGACAACTCAGATCTCCAAGGGAATCCCCTACTTTATGACTCCTAGGAAGCCTCTTTTCCTCCAGTTGGTCATGAGTCCTTCGGCCTCCTATGTATAATTGCTTTCTTCATTAGGATCCTTTTGGGGACACCTCCTCGTTCTTTGTTGGAGGTAAGGCACCATCCGTGTATGAGGCCTTCAAGCTCAGGACTAGCTGAAGAAATCTGGTTCCCCCCACTGATCCTGTGAGTCAAAGAGCCAAATTCTGTGTCACTTACCATACTTAGTAACACCTTGCTCCACAAATATTTCCACTGAAGTTAATGTGACTTCTTGTGGAATAAGGAGCTATTCATCCAGGCTATGTCTAGACTGCAAGCCTCTTTCAAAGATACTTTCGAAAGAGAGCGTCTAGACCGCACGTTGAACTTTCGAAAAAGCAGCTTGCTTTTTCGAAAGAAAGCATCCAGTGAGTCTGGATGCTCTCTTTCGAAGAAGCCCTATTTACATTGAAGAACGCCTTCTTTCGAAAGAGGAACTTTCGAAAGAAGGCGTTCTTCCTCGTGAAATGAGGTTTACCGCCATCGAAAGAAAAGCCGCGTTCTTTCGATTTAATTT